ATAGAGTGAATGTTGTGGCACTTTTAAATATTATTAAAATGCCTCTGTTTACTTTCAGAGATAATTAAATGATATTCACAAAGTGCGGCTAACACCGCGTGTTGCTAGCTCTTCAGAAAGCAAGCCTTGATTGCATGGTTGAGACATGATGCTTTTGCTGTTATTTATAATGTGGCTCAGAGAAGCGACAGCTAACTTGATAGCGCGGGCAGCTCTTCCTCGTAGAGGTCCACTGCAAGAGACAACTAGTGGAGCAGGTCGAGCAGCAGCCATCATTGCTGGTGATAGATTCATCTGGTATAAGAATGATGAAGACGATCATTGCAAGTATTTGGTGGAGCCTGAGCAAGAAGTGGGAACAAGTTACTTTTACAAAAAAGAAGAAATGGTTAGTGAATTAATTATACTGAGGTAGTTATTGTATTTTTTTACTAGGTTGTGGTGAGTTATTGCAAAGTACCCAAAAACTGTGTTGTGTGACTCAGTGCCACTTGTATCATAATACTTAGACTTATTTGTATGAATACCATATTGTATAAGTTTTATCTCTGTATTGTTTATTGTATGGTTTGTTCATCATTTGTTTACTGGTCAACAATGTATCATCCCAGCCTGAAGGCATAGATATAGAGCTGTTCCACGGATACGGATGTAATCAACGGGGTAGGCGGAGCTTCCTGTCAGCCATATCTTGAGTGGCAAGAATGTATATAGAGCGGTTGCAGTGACGTCACTTTTTGACGTCATAATTACTTCCGTATGGCAAAAATAATGAGCCTCATTCGTTTACAGCAGCAAAGTTGCTTCTTCTATAACTTCTTTTACACAGCACAAGGCAAAAAAGGAGTACAATTCTAGCGGTAGTAAGCAGAAAAGTAGCGATAGCAATAATTACAGAAGTAACAAGGCAATTCTGTGTTCACTTTGGCCGTTTCACTGATTCTCTATCCAGGGACTTTTTGCTTCCTTTGCATCCCTGGGTCTAGGTAAATGAAAGAGCAGCATGAATTAGCCATGCTCATAGTTAAGGAAGCCTGCCAGAAGAGTTTATAGCGCTGTACAAATGAATGGCAAAGTAGCCATTTGCCATGCGGAAGTAATTATGACGCATGCTGTGACGTCATATGAAACCGCTCTATACGCAATCGCGCGTACGCAATGAATGGAGAAATGGAAACAAACTGCGATTTTTCATCAAAGAGATATCATACTTCGCTGCAGAATATTATAGAGACTTCTTTACTCAATATCTTCATCTCCTATCTTGCATTAGCTTGGAATGTCAACTGCAGAATTTATTTAATTTTTTTCTCCATTCTCCCATTCATTCTTGGCCTTCTTGCCACCCAACATGGCGGACAATTTAGCTCAATTTTAGCCACACCCTCCCATTGATTACTTCCGTGCAACAGCTCTATTGGTCTGAATTGCACTATGCATGCAGTTCAGGCTTGGACTCCAAGACCAAGATGTCTTGTGTGATGTTAGCACTAAGACTGAGTTTTTACCTTATAGTCTACATATGCTACGTACTTATTATCTCTGCAGTAATACCACCCGTTATTATTACCCATGCAAGAGCAAACATATGCATCTAAAATTCACAGTATCCTTGCTATTACCATTAGATCTATAAGTCTTGCCCACATCATTTATAGTTCTATTAATGTGTTACATTGTACAACCTGCTGCATGCATAAGTTTTTAAAAATAATAGCAAAATAATAAAATCTGTCTGCATCATAAAAATCAAACAATTCATGCTATTAGTACACAAAATGATACAAAGGTTGCTTGATCCATTATTTATCAAATTTAGCTGAAAGACTTGACTCAAGGACATCTGTATCTTTTATCAGTGACTCATTTTCACTGTAGAGAGAAGAGAGAAAGAACAGTACATGTACATGATTAGAGTATCAAGATTGAGAAAGAGAAAGGGAGGGAGGAGGAAGAAAAAGAGGGAAGGAGGAGCATGAGGAGGTAGAGGGAAAGAAAGGGAGAAAAGGGGAGCGAAGAGACAGAGAGAAGGGAGGAAGTCAGGGAGGAGGAAGAGAAAGAGAGGGTATATGATTAAAGACTCACTCATCCTCAGCCTCATCACTCGTATCATCTTTATTCTCATTCTTTATACCAACAATGGCTACAGTGTCCTCTTCTTGTGCAGTCCTTACCCTACAAGCATTAGACCACGGACAACAACACCTATCAGAGAATAAAGGTTAAGTACAGGCAATAATTAGTGTGCAATAGTACACATTACTACAAGAAAGCCTATGCACCCCATAATAATCATAAGTAAAGAAAGGACCACCCCTAATACCACAAAGTAATCTAGGAACTCAAAGGCCAACCTACAGTGGTGCCTAGATACTGTATAAACGCAGTAAGCACAGGTCTTAATCAGAAATTAAACTTATTTTCACAGATTGTATTTTCGTCAATCGCGAAGGAATCCACAAAATTTGCAACCCTTAAAAACACTTATATGGCATGTAAGTGTGATGATGTGATCAGCTTTTAAACCTACAGGCTATGTACATGTATACATGTACATGTACCTCAGATAGTAGAATAAGTTAATCCTCTGTAGCCATGGCCTCAGAAACAATTCATCGATTCTCTCTAAACTCTCCCCTTTTGTTTCAGGAAGTGTTAGCAACACAAATAAAAATGAGGCAAAGAGGAACCCTGCCAGTATGTAGAATGTACCGGCCGTCTTTAGTACAGAACCGAGAAGTAATGGGGTTACCATAGCAACCACAAAGTTCCCAATCCAGTTACCAGAAGTAGTGACTGAAACAGCAACACCTGAAGAGAGAGAGGGAGGGAGGGAGGGAGGGAGAGAGAAGACGTCAAGGAATACATGCATTAAATCAAATCAGTATCAATATCAATATTAGTATCAATATCAATATTAGTATCAATATCAATATTAGTATCAATATCAATATCAGATCAGTATCAGCTAACCTCTAACAGAGAGAGGGAATATTTCACTAGTCACCACCCAAACAACTGGTCTATGAAGAGAAATATGAATACATCATGTGCTGGGACAAAGAATTTATCACTGGTGTCAGCAATTGCCTAGGATAGTAAGTTTGTATAGCTTATCTGCTACACAGCCAAGAA